TGGCTATCCAGATCTTCTTTATAGATTGATAGTTTTCTCTCTCTTTTTTTTTAAGGGAGGGGGCTCCTACAGTAACTTTATTGTAACTGAGAAACCTGGCTGCAGGCAGGCTACATGATTAAAGCAGATGGCCATCCTTCCAAAGGGTGAGGCCTGAGCCCAGCTGGCAGCACACACAGTTAAAACCAAAGCCCAGAATAACCTCTTTCCTGACACTATCCTGCATTGCTCGACTCATGAGTGACAGCACAACCACACTGAATCGAAGTACAAGGTCCAACTGGGCAGAGGCAAAAACCCAACAGGAAACAACCAATCACAGGAGAGGGTGCTAAAATAAAATGCAGTTGCCTACTCTCCGCTATTCTTTGCCAAGAAAGGTGAGGGTATGGGATGAGCGGTAAGTTATGGTCAGTGATGGTCAGTGAAATAGAACAGGATGAAAATCTAGGCTAGTTATAAACCTTTGTGCCTAAAGAAAAGAACAGCAGTGATAGTAAGTAGAAAGGAACATTAAAATGCCGGCAACTATTAAAAAGGAGAGCCTTATTTCTTTTTTTCTCAAATAAGACAGGAAACAGCATCTTGTGTTTTCCTTGCTGCAGTGGCTGCAGATTTGCCACTTTTCATAAAATACGATTTCTACTAGTGTATTATTGTCCATTGATAAAAGTGCTCAATCACGAGAAGATAGTAACAGATGAACTGTTATTGTTAGAACAGGTCTTCTCACAAAGCCTCAAATATGAGCTATTTCTCATGCTGGATCCACAGAGGAAACCCCAAACACCATAAGGTGCCTCAGATAAAGCTCCTGCAATATTGCAATGGTGTGATTGACAGGTTCGTGGGGGGCTGTGATTTTCTTGCACGTGTAAACTCTTTTGGAAAAGCTGGAGATAAAAGGATGGGAAAGAGTTTGGTTTAGAGCCAAAAAGTTTCAGACATCAGCCTTGGATGGATGCCTCTGCCCCATTTCACTACATGTTCTTCTCTGAGAAACACATTTAATCGCAGAGTGTTAAGCACTGTGGTTAAAAGAAATGATCCATTCACCACCACCCACTTTCCCTCATCCTCCAGGTGAATCTCACAATAGCAGAGGCTGATGACAAGAAGGTTGACTCTGTTCCCTCTCACCAGGGAAATCAGTTGGTATCTTTGCAAATGAGCTAGGTAGCCCAGTTGTCTGAGGTGACCCCTGACACAGAGATGTGGCTGACCTTTGTCTTATAGATGGAGAACTCTTTAGTCAGCCACTCCATCTGTTCAGCCTTTAGCTCCATGAAACAAAACATGCCAGTCTGGCCAGGAATGTGCTGCCAATGGTGGGAGAAGTCTTTCTTGAGGTTGGAGATCAGCTGAGCCCACAGGCCAATGATAAGGTTGGCCATGACTTAAACTTCTTGCAACTACTGTTTTTGAAAATCCAGGGTAGTCAGAATGGTTGAGCAATCTGGGTCCTACTGAGAGGAGGTTTGAACACATTGGATGGATCAATATCTTCAACTGTAATTTAACTCTTTGGGCTTCATCAGCATCTTTGCAGACTGCACTGAAGGCTGCCACATGTGCCCATGTTTTTGGCATAGGATTGGCAGTGAGAACTGGTAATGCTCTCTTTGATGGCATCCTTGTTAACATCGCACGTGGCAAATCCTTGGTAGGTCATGTCAAAGAACACAGATTCTTTTTCCTCATTACTGTTGCTTTTCCTTCCATTGCTCAAGATGAGGTGTCCTCTGCAATGAGATTGTAGGCACGGGTATGCAGGAGAATGCTTTGCTCTGGTATTTTTGAAATGCCCTTCTTAGTGCCTGTGAAATCAAAGCCACAAGTCTTGGGGTCATTGTATAGATAGTCATGTAGCTGCTTGCAGTGTCCCTGAAGATGCATGTGTAATTTCCCCCAGGATGGTTTGGGCAGAAATACATCTCAGCTGAATTTAAAAACCCTTTGCAGATATCTGGCTCCAATCCTTAAGACCCAGTTCCAGAAACGATCTGCATAGTGACATATTGGCCACTTTTCAAGATTTTGCTATTCTTATCCAAGGCTAGTTCTTCAGATGACTTGCAAAATCCAACCATTTCATCAACATGCAGGTATTCTTTGTCCAGGTTTTTTGCAGCAATCTGGACACTAGGGTGCATATACAGCTTTCCATTATCATCCTGGTAGGCACCACCTTCCAGACTCATCTTCTTGATGTTGGTATCTCTCTTATAGGCTTCTGTGACCCCCAGGATGGGACCTGCAGCCCCCATCTCCACATGAGCCCACCAGGAATTGGCTGTGGTAGAGGCAAGACAGCAAGGTCTGAGTGGGAGGTGGCAGTGACCCCAGACAGGATGCAGCTGGAATGTATCAGAGCTATGGTAGGCAGTAAAAGAGCAGGGGATAGTGACAG